AACTTTTACCTCAATCTCATAGCATTGGACAACTGGTGTAGAATACAACACGTAGAATGCGACGCGGAGAATGAGATAGTTATTAGAGAAGGAAAGGGTCGCATTCCTAGAGTATCGGTGCTGAGCTCATTTTTGTTCGTCAAACTTTTYRACAATGARATKAGATATAGAGGTCGAGAKGTAGAGCGTTGGTGTCAGGACGTTATCATAAGTGACATGGACTTGATTATTGCTCCTTTCCATATCGAACACAAGAACCACTGGACCCTTGTCGTGGCTGACTTSAGGAGGAGGAAATTCGAATTTTACGACTCCCTCGACCCCGACATGGAGTTGGCGAGAAAGGTGACCGGCGGGTTTGCAAAGTTTATATTCGAAAGATCGAAATCACAAGGCAAAGAGGTGGACACGAAACCATTCAATCACATATGGAATGTAGAGGGCATTCCGAAGCAACACGACACGAACGAGTGCGGGGTCTTTGTGCTWACGTACGCATCACTATTGGCACGGGGCCAACTTCCACCTTTCTTTTTCACTGCTGATGATATACCCGCGATACGTCGTCGAATGGCTTTGGACACAGTGACTCGTAAGTAGTGTGTATATGATAATCCGTAATATGATGTGGAGGGGGGGCGGATGCCACAAGATGGTTTGTGACAAAAACAATGTATATAAGGTGCCAAATTTTACTCGATACGCTGTGCCACTTGACCCTTGCAATTTACCACATATCCCTTACACCTCACTCCTTACACCTTACCCCGTTCACCTCACACCTTGCCCCTTACACCTTACCCCTTACACCTTACCCCTCACCCCTTACACCTTACACCTTACACCTTACACCTTACCCCGTATCCCATACACCAAACATCTCTTTGTAATGGTTTTTGCACCTAAATCAGCTCAAAAATGACAATTTTAATTTCGTTCAAAAAATATAAAATGTCCGTTTTGACGAAATCGCTGTTTTTCTGAGAAGCTCCGTGGTCAGAGGATGCTTCGGTGCGTGTTCTGCGGGAACAAGTGGCAGGGGAATAGTCATGGGGCGGCGTGACATTTTCGTAGCGGGAAGGGATGTTCGCAGGTGACTAATGAAGCTCTTATGGAGATGCATTACACGAGCGGTTACGCATTTGAGGGAAAGTGGTTGGAGCGGATCCGCAAGTACGAGGAGCTTCATGGTCCTTGGGTGGATGAGAGGAGGACTTGCAGGGGTCAGGCTCAGGTGCGGGCGGTGTCCAACGCCCCAGTTGGGGCACGGCAACATGGCGATGGCGTCATCGATTAGGATGGCGAGGGAGAGGATTGCGGGGCCGTGGGGGTTAAGGGGGAGGTCGAGGCTGCATACTCACAGCGCCCAAGCAAGTTGCCGGTCGGTGAGGGTGGTTCGAATTTAGAGAAGAGGAAGGGTGTGGTTGGTGCGACGATGCAGCAGGGGAAGAAGATGAGGCAGCCGACGATAAAAGAGGTGTTCCGGTATGACTGGGCTGCTCAACACAGGAAGGTGTGGTTGCGCTTCGTGTACAGCAACCAGTTTCCCTTCAACATCTTACGGAGCCCGACGTGGAAGGCGTACACTGCACACTTCAGGGACAAACCCGCTTCAGTCCCCGTGCTTTGACCTTCTGGAAACGAAGTCTCATCGATGGATATAGTGTTTGAGATGACGATGGACGTTGTTGTGGGTCTCAAAGACATACAGGAGCCATTTGACCGCACAGGGGCGACGTTAATGTCCGATGGTAGGAAGTCTCGTGATGGGAAATCGATCGCGAACTTCCTTGCATCCGGTGCTCGAGGAGTGATGATGTATCGCACCCTCAACTAGAAGGGTGAGATTGATGATGCGCTCGCAGTGTTGGGGAGGTGGATATCGGTTTTGCACGACTTCGGTCCCGACAGGGTTAACGCCATTTGCACAGACTCTGCGTCTGCCTACGTAAAGGCAGGCAACGCTTTGGCCCATCCTCACATGAGGCCTGAGTACAGGCGGATTACGTGGCTTCCCTGTGCATCGCATGTGTGCAACAAATTGTTGTCGAACATCGGGACAACGGACCCGTGGTGCGTAGACATTATTGTGCGGGCGAGAACAGTAGTGCACGACCGAGCTGATTTTTTGTTCAGGAGAGAGAGTCGCCATATGGGTTTGTTGTACTCTTGTGAGACTCGCTTTGCTTCTGTGTACGCGATGCTAGAGCGGTTGGATGCTGTGCAGCGTCCTTTGGAGCGGATGGTGGATAAGACAGACTGGTGCAGGGAGTCTTGGGCGACAACGTCGATCAGGCAGCATGCGCGATGGGTGCGATGGCAGATCCGGCATGGCAGTTGGTGGGACTCCATGGACATCTTGCGTGCCGTTATGGAGCCGGCTTACGATCTGCTGCGCAAGATGGATCATGGAGGGTTATGCATGTCTCGAATAGTCGAGTGTTCTGGATGGTTGGCGAGGGAGGTGGAGGCGGTTGTTAGACCGCTAGACGATGGATTGGCGGATCAGATTTTCAGGTGCGTGCAGGAGCGCGTTGCTCATATGTGTGAGCCTGTGCATGCTGCGGCGCACCTCCTTTGTCCGATGAGGAGGTCGATGCGGTATTACAGCGGCGTGGTGAAGGACGAGGACAAACGACTTATGAGGGAAGCAGAGCAGTACATTCTGTCGCAGACCGGGTTTGATGAGCGGCGGAAGGAGTACCGAGACGCTGTGTTGCAGCTGCGAGACTTTCATATACGCACATCGACTTGCGCATGGGGAAGGGAGCGGGCACGCGCCGCAGTGGAGATGTGTGTCAGGGAGCAGGAGACCGTTGAGAGTGGTCTTTGGTGGTCACAGTATGGCGGTTGTGCTCCTGAGCTTCAGCGTATCGCTCTTCGTGTGTTGTACATGTGGACGTGCTCCTCTCCCGGAGAGCGGAACTGGGCCATCCACGAGAGTATTCACACGAAGAAGCGTAACAGTTTGTTGTTCCCGAAGGTCCCGAAGTTGGTGGAGATCACAGCCAACACACGACTTTTGGCTCTTCAGAGCGGTGGTGGAGGTTTGGTTCTTCCGTGGACTCAGGATGAGTCTATATTGGATGTCGAGGGTGGCCTGGAGGCAGACGCTGTATGCGAGGGGGTGGACCACGGCATACCCGAGGAGGACCTCGATGTGCAAGCGCAGTTATGGCGGCGGGATGCTTGTGGGTCACGACTACCGCCGTCCATTGAGGATGTGTTCGGGGTTCAGGCTGCCACTTTGAGGCCGTACCCAAGAGATGACTCGAGTGGAGATGAGCGCGAGGAGGCAGATGAGGGTTTCTGCCCCCGCGGCGTTGGTGCTGCCTGGCGTGCGGAGGACGACGATGACACTTGGAGTGACCCTGAGGAGGTTCGCCGGCGTAGCGGTGGCAGAGATTTATTCGAGGACACAGCTAGGGGAAGGTTTGGAGTTGAGGGATGTTGGGACGGATCTGGGAGCCCTCTTGTCGAGCCGATTCCTCATACCTCATCGCCGACCGTACATGGGGAAGAGGGGGACATAACGGGCATGCAAGGAGCCCATCACAGACAGGGTCCGACAGGCAAGGGCTCATTAGACCGTGGTGAGGATTCAGAGGGGTGTGGAGGAGGTGTGAGGCTTCTGCGCCTTCGGAAGGTTCCGGAGGTCGCAAAGAGACAACTCATAGTAGGTTCTGAGTCACCGCCTTCATGTAGGGGTGCGACCGGTGCGGGGACAGGGGGAGCGAAGATCGGAGGCGCAAGACATGAGCGTCCGATAGACGTCAACAGAGAGATGGGCACCGGAGATGTGGCCAGAGGTGTTGCTTGGTCGCTAGGGGACATTGGGACACTCGACGCTCTGCCTGGTAATAGCACGGGTCACACGGAGCAGTTTGAAGATGCCCATCATGAGGGGGTGCCAGAAGATGAGGCAGTTGGCGGTGGGGACCATGCTTTAGTAATCAGCGTCCATGCGCAATTTCATGGTCGGGCTAGAGGCCACTCTGCCATCCATGACGGAGGGTGAGTCTATTGTTGCGCGACAGGCCGACGACGAGGATGTTCGGCCTCAGCCACAGACAGTTCACATGGGAGTGCATGCACCAGACACCGAGGAGGAGCGCATGGCTCGAGGGCGAGGGAGGAGGAGGAGGAGGCGGCAAGGGCCAAGGCCCTAACCGATGCTGACCCACGCACACAGGCCATGGCACGTGACATGGAGGCCATGCGTAAGTTAGAGATTGGGGGAGAAGGAGTTCGGGGCGATGTGGCGGAGGATGACCAGATGGAGGGCTCAATCGGTAGTGCACACGCGCAGACATTCGGAGTCTCGTGGGTTGGTCGTGGAGGCAGCTGCCCACATTTCACATGCGGTTAGAGAGAGAGAGGGAGAGACACCAGTGCCCGATATCGACAACGCACCCATCGTCCCGCCACCACCAGACGGAGAGGTGGACGTCGTTGCAATGGCACACGACAGAGAGGCGCGCGACGAGACAGTGGTTCAGTCCACTGTGCCAGAGGATGATGATGCTCAGTCGGTGGCCCCTCAGATAGTCGATAGTGTAGATACGGCTTTGCTGGGAGATCCAGGAGCAGTACCAGGGGGAGACGTGCAGGATGAGGAGGCAGTTGGGAGTCCAGCGGTGGTGGGGGGAGATGCAGAGACAGGGGAGGACAGGGTTCGGGAGGTACATGGAGATGTGGGTGCGCCCTCGACTATACATGGTTCACGCGAGGAGGAGGGAGCAGGAGTCATGGCGCCACCGCCCATTCGACATGATTCACCGACGGCCACACTTCGACCACCCAGTCAGCGGTCGCGGCGTCGTCCACCTCGTTACGTGGAGCAGCCACGAGGCAGTTTGATGTTCGGCACGATGATTGTCGATGAGTTGGGCGCGTGCCTTGCAACGGATCTCACAGATACGAGACATGGAGTGAGGATCGGCTCAACGAAAGGCAAAGCACTTCTACCACACGTGCAGTCCGTTTCATAGGGTCCTGCTAGCCCGACACCGCCATCAGACGCTTCGGTAGCGGTGGGTGCCATGGGAATTGGTGCGGTGCAGTCCCCTCCCAGTGTGGCATGAGATTGCGGGACACGACCTTCTGCGCCAACCTCAGCGGCGGGCAGGCCTCGAGAGCGTGGACAGGCGACAGCGGGGGCCGTGGCTTCCTTACTTGGCTGCACTTACATTCCTTGGAGCAACACGAGGAGGTCGACCGCGGGTACCAGGAAGAGGCAGCCCGGGTTGGGGAGGAGACGCTCTTCCACATCATCGACGAGGGAGGTGCATGCTGTTGGGTTCGAGCATCGTGGCGGGTCGGGTGCCGAGGTTGAGGGTGCGGGCGGACGTGGATCTGCAACACCCGGCGCACGAGTGTCGACTCACGGATTGAGGGAGGTTTCACAGATCCTCGGGGCAGATGTGTTGGGGCCTCCCAGGACACAGCGACCGCTACCCAGACGAGCATCACGCCTGGATGGTGAGACCACCGGGGGCGAGGGGTTGGAGATGATGCGAGGGAGACATCGCACGGACACCCTCTTAGCGGCGTCGCAGAGGCAGATGAGACTGGGTGGCGTCACGGTGGTTGGCGACGATCACACTGACGTCGCTGCAGAGGGGGCTGACGGAGAGGAGGACCTGTCGATACATGAGGCACGTCGAGCGACCTTGGAGCGTGGCGAGCGGCGGAGCACGAGCCCCCCCACACGCGCTGGATGCCATTGACTTTTTTGTGATTGTTAGTGGTCAGCGGCACGACTGCATCATGTAGTTTTGACACGTTCCTTTACCGTTTGTCGCTGTAGGATGGTTTTTTTCCTTATTAGGCAGTGCACATTTTTCTTATTTCATGTGGATGGTTCATTGTGAAACCTTTCTGGGTGCACACACGTTTCGACCTTTCATATTTCGTATGGTACGCTTACTTCGACAGTACTGTTTGTTATTGTCCATGATGTTTTATACGGCATAACTCTTTGTGCAAACTGTGTGCAGCCGTATGTTTTTTTTGTATCATATGTGTGCATTTTTCCTTTCCCTTTGGACCTCGTCCGCCTAGTTTTTGTTGTTTCTTCTTTTGTCCAGGTGACCGGTGTTTTTTTTTCACCTACGGGACGCTACTTCCATCAAACCTGCCCTCCCGCCTTAAGTTTAGGCGGGCATGAGCCTTGCTGGCGGTAGCCAGACCCAAACACCACCCAACCCAAACCACACCCCACCCCACCTCACCCCACCCCAAACCGCACCCCGAACCGCAGCCCCAAGCCCAACCCAAAGCCTACCCCGAACCCTACCCCACGGTCCCCACCACAAACCACACCACACCACCCCACCACAAACCAACCGCAACCAACCCAAAACCTGAACCCCACCCCAGGCCAAACACCAGCACACCCCACCCCACCCGAAAGCCCACACCACCCGAAACCCTACCCCACCCGAAACCCCAAACCCCACCCCAC